GGGGGGTTATTAATATGAGGAAGGGATTATATTATAATATGACCCCCCATATACCCCATATTCTATCTACCTGGAGCTGTCGCCTGAAGGAGTGCTTGCAGCAACTGCTGGACACACCTGGCCTCACACTGGACTCTTGGCAGACCCAGCAGGGATGGCAGGAAAAGCTTCCCCAGATAACCTTGCGATGCTGTCTTTGGATTTGCGGGCCCGAAGAGTTTGTAGCATTTTTTTAAGTTTGCTACCCAACCCTGAGCAAGGTGGACGAGAAAGATTACTACTATTTCTAGTAGTGCGTTATGAAAGCTGTTATGATTAGAATTACGGTTAGTATTACTATTGTCAGGTCTTTGCACATCCGCGGCCCAAATCGGTTCAGCTTCACGAGAGCTTTGGCGCTACTGGAAAGGCTTGCTGGAAGCGAGTAAAGGCCTGGACTGGTACTTACGGGGGGGTAGGTTTCAAGGTTTAGGCTTGGAGGGAAGAAGGGAATATATTTGGGTTTCTATAGGGCCTTAGGGATTATGGAAATTAATATGGAAAGTACTGCGTTATAGTAGGGTAGATATTGGGGTTATAGTAGGGAATAGGAGAATGCACCATTAGGGATTGCATTCCCTTATTCCCTACTAAGCTCCAGTAAGTGCATGTCCGCAAGATTCTTTGCCCTCTTTTGGGGCCCTGACCAAGAAGGGTGCTTCCGCTGATGTTTCATTTGCTAGCTGGGACGACTTGCCAGCGGGAGATCGCTTTTGTGAGCTTTGCTGATAGCTCAGAAGACTTGCCGAACTTTCGGCGTCGAAAGCAGCCTTGCATGACTTGGGAGGTGCCAGGTGATTATGCTGAGTTTGAGTTCTCCACGGCACCCAGGCTGCATTTTTGGGCCCAGACTCTATAGCTAGTTATTCGTCCTGGCCACTGCTCCCAGGAAAGAAGGCGCCGCTTACAAGGTATGACTCCTAAATTTCTGACTACCAAGCAGGCATCTGGCGCATGATCCAAGCTTCACCCATCAGACTTCAAAATGGCATATTTCTGACCTCAGAGGCAGCACGTCAGAGCCTTCGTTCTGAGGATGGTGATGGGGGCGACAAACCCGACAAGCGTTGGGGCGTGCTCGCAGTTTGGATCAACCAGCTCAATTTCTTGCGTTTTTTCAGCTTCTGTTCCAGGGATGAGACTGCAAGCATCGGTCTCTTGGAAAGTTTAAGTACGATGGAGGAATGGCTGCATCTGCTTTTTGCTTCTGAATGTACAGTGAGTGCGGGTCTTCGAAGCACGAATTATGCGCAACCATGTCTGGAATACGGTGCTCGCACATGTGCTGCGCAGCAATCTGTCCAAAAGTCAGTGCGCATGCCCAGGCTTTGGCAATGCCTGCCACGTCGGATGACGACAGCATGCAAGAAAAGGTGCTCCGTGTGTCATGACCCGCGGTCGGAACATAGAGGGCTGCATAGTAAACCTGTCCTTATAGCCATCCGTCTTTGAGAGCCTGGTCAACAAGCTGACATCAATCAGAGCCATGCATCTGTCGCAGGTTGACAGCTTTTTGGGAAAATGGGTGGAGGAGCGCAGCATGATTACTGGTGACTTTGTGTTTCGCTGTTCGGGGCTCCCCGGACTGGCTATGTGTGCAGATATAGTGTTGCACGTCGCATGCTATGTTATTCTATATCTGTGGCCCGCCTAGAGACTCTCCATGACTCTCCATGGACTCCGACCAAACCTGTGTCTGTGTAGCGGCGCCGAATTCATGTCAATTAGTTAGGGATGGAAAAGAATCTTAACCGTCTGGTCCCTTTGGGCAGTCGGAATATGTACCCAGCTCACACATCTACACAGGTCATGCTACCCGAACTTCAATGATTGCTGTCCCCAGCCCAACTAGCGTTCCTCCCAGCAGACAGGGCAGACACCGCCAAAAAAATGCAAAGCTCTTGGATCATATCGCTGCAAAGCCCGTAGGAGCTACGGCGTGCGACCGGCAGTATGGAGTCGCCCACGGTGGGGAAAGTCATTGAAGGGGTTCATATGGAAATTAACGGGAAGTATGGTTCCTTTTTCAAGGGCCGGCTCCCTGGTATATTACGGCCCCCACCCCGAAAAGAGGCCATAATTTTGACAGCCTAGGCCTGTGCAGACTGCTACAGGGTTCAGACAGCTCATGTAGGAAATGCTTTCTGGGCTACTTGCACTTTCTTCATAGGTGGTAGCAACTGCTGATCCTGCATTTGCAAGCCCAGAAGTAAAGAAAGGAGGTCAGGTGATGAATGTCGGATGCTTTCCGACAAGTGTCATGTTTGATCCCTGTGACTGGCATAACTGTAGTCTTACCTGGCTGAGCACAGCCAGGATTGGTGTCAAGACAGGAGGAGAGTTTCACGCGATTGATTCTGTGCCGAAAGCAGGACTGGCGGTTAATCTGATGCTAGTCTTGAGGGGGGTTTAGCAAATTGGTTTCGCAAACAAGCTGGTACTTATCCACTGCTAGGTGACCGTAGTCACGGAGCTATTCTAAGCAAAACGTTTGCAAAACTCGCAAATTTCAGTTTTTGGCAGCGATACCCTCGAGCAGGAAGCTACAGCTACAGGCTTACATTCTCCTGCCATTTTCATCCCCACGAGAGCTCCAGATGATGTGGTAGTTTCCCCAAATAGGGGGACCCCAATATAGACCCCAAAATTCTATCATCCTTATGATTGGGATCCCCAAAATGGTACCCCTAATTTTGGGAAACCCCAAACCCTTTTATACCCTTGTAAAAACTTCTTAATAACCCCCATAACCCAAATAAGGTACCCCTAATTTTTGGGAAACCCTCATGTAAAAAGAGCGTGAGTGCCAGCCACCATTGTGTTTCCACTGCCAGAAGCCCGGGAGGTGGAGCGTGATGCCTGGGACGAGGCCCGCCTACGAGCGCTTTGCGCTCGCCATGGCTGGGAGTTTGAGTGGATGACAGCATCTGGGCAATTTTCCTGAGGTTTTAGAACAGAAAAGCTGTTGACGGCATAAAAGGGATGTCGGGGATGTCAGCTATGTTGGTCTTTTAGTTGCGCCAGTGCATGCAGACTTGTCGTGGGCCGTCTTTACTTCGCTTCCGAGATCCCCGTGCCTTCATTAAATCTCTGTGCAGAAGGTCTGGATGCTTGCGCAATGCCCCTAAACCACATTCACCTCTGTGCTTGATTGCCAGTTAATCAGCTAGGCATTCCTCCCTTGGAGGCTTTTTGGATGCATGGTGATGGTTAGGGAACCTCAGCGATGCTCAAGTTTAAGGAAGACGGAGAACGTCGAAGGAGAGCCCACGAGCACCTGAGGCAGCATCTCAGAAGAGGTGTTTCCTGCCTTTCAAAGCAACGTCAAGCAGGTGTGGCATTTCCCACTTTTAGCAGTGCTGTGACCCTTGAAGCTGGGCACTTGCGATGCCGAGCCCTTGTCAGAGTGACGTTTGACGCCTCAAACCGAGTTCTTCATTCCTTGGAGGTCTTAGGGTGTGCACTGTCGTGATTTTCAGCGCTCTGTCTCCCAAGGGTTAACATGGCTTTGTTTTTTGCAACCGCGCCTTGCAGCCATTAGCTCAGGCAGTGGGACGTGCTCAAGCTCTCAACGCCAGCGCTGCCTGCTGACACTGCAGAGCCAGACGGCACATCCGGCACACCCTGAGGAGAATCACGCGGTCATTAGGATGGGGAGCATGAAGAAAAAACCCACCCAAACCAGCTCGGTTGTCAAGCCGCAAAGCGTCATTCCTTTGCATGATTCTTTCCAATATGCTTCTTGGTTCGCCTGTCTGTTTCAGGGGCCCCTGACCACACGAATGTTGGGTGCTTTTTCATGTGGAAAGCGACTTTCAGTGCGCAATCGGCTCTGAGATTTCAACTCTGGAGCATTTGTTGCAGAAAGTAGGAGTGAATGTGTAGAACTGTCACTTTGCTGGGAGAAGCTGTGGACAAGTGAGAAACATTTTCGAGTTGTTGCCAGGGCGTATGAGCTACAGGCAGTTGGCCCACGTCATGTATCATGTGTATTCCTGGAGCAGGAGATGGGCGAGATCAAGAAGCTTGTGCCACCTGCACAAATCTTCCCCCAAGAATCTCCCTTAAGGGTACAAGTACCCAAATCACAGGAGTTCAGGTACCAAAAATCAGTCAAATTGTAGGAAGTATTCGTGGCCCAAAGCCCTACTGTTTGGGTACTTGGACCCTTGGGCTTCTAGAATCGCCTCTGAGCATACGCGAGGCGCGCCTAGACAGCTTTTAGTGCTAGTAGGCAGTTCATTGCAACACCCACTGCCATATGGGTTCTTCTATAGATAGGGGACCGCAATATAGGCCTCAATATGCTATACTCCTGCATGTGAGGACTCCAAGAAGAGGACGCCTAATTTTCGGAAACTCCCATATGTGCGGGTCTGCGCCATGTTTACCAGGTTACTGTCTCACACCTGACACAAACGTGTCTGAAAAGTCCAACCTGGAACGGACGAGGCCCAGAAGTGCGGGCATTGTGCCAAGTACTTCGACACTAACAATAAATAACAATAGCAATAGTAATCGCAACAATAAAAACAGTACTTGGGGGTACCAAAATTAGAGTACAAGCAGGACTATAGGATGTTGGGGTCTGCTTTTGGGGCTTCCTGTTCATGGAAGCTCCCAACTTGTTTCTCACACCTAGAGATGCTTCTGCAACATGTCCGCCTCATGGTGTTCCCAGGCCCAAAATCTTTGGGACTCGGCCACGGGTCTTCATGCTACATGCATTATTCATTGTTGTCAAGCTATAGTCATTGTCCTCATTTTTAATTGCTGAGGGGTGGGAATGATTGTAAAAGCACATTGGCAGACATTGACCTGATGCTGCGCGCCCCGAAGATAGGGCTGTCGACCAAAGGCTCAAAAGGATACTCCGAGCCCAGCGGGAATCCGGGGCAAAAGATGCTTGAAATGGGTGTTACTAGGGGCAGCATGCATGGATGGCACAGCTAATGAAACTAGAGGGGTTTGGGTGGGATTCGACAGGGCTAAATTTTGGTCGCATGATACAGGCGGTCGCATGCGTCACTTTATTGCGCTGTTCTAAGTGTCCACACTTGATGCAGGGCACCCTCCGAAAGCTTTTGGAGTTGTACCCACCCAGATGCTTCCTACACGTGAACTTACTGCCATGCGTGCAAGCATTGAGGCCGAAGCTCGCGAGTCCTGTGCTCGAGATCTTGCTGCGCTGAAGGACTCACACGGGTGGACGCGGGGTTGCAGGTCTTTAGGGATAGTTACGGATAGTTGGCCTTCGAGGCCGAAGCTTCAGACCTGTTGTGAAGTCAAGAGACTTATTGGCACAGGAAGCAGTCGAATGAAAATGAGCCACTGCAGGGCGGAACACTATTGTTTCCTACATGGCTCATAAGATGCCTGTGAGGAAGAGGAGCAGAGGGTTGCCGAGGCTGGGATTTGTATGTCTTTTGCTCAATGGACTCCATGTTTTGGCAAGGATGTAAAGCATGGATGAACTTTCTCCTGGCCTTGCCAGCAAAGCTCCTTGCCTAGTTTGCAGGCCCGTGCCCGGTATGCGCAGACTACAGACGACTTGGAGCAAGATGCCTGGGCCTTGAGCTGATGCACTCAATTCACAAAAGAGACACCTGCATAATTGTGATGGGGCAATAGCAAATATCTTAGCTCTTGAGCGCAGCAGCCCGCACGGAAGCCAATGTATACTGGTAGCAGTCAGACTGGCAGATGTGCGGGTGCACTTTGCTATTGCAGCTGAACTGCCTTTCTCAAGCCGGAATCAACTGAACTTCGTCGATGCACAGAAGCCTGCACAGGTTACTGCAGCATTTGTGTTGCTGTGCTCAGGTTGCTGCTAAGCAGCAAGAGCTTTTTTCTGCCAAGTCCCAAGCAGAGGCTGGATTTGCATCAGCTGAGAGCAGAAGCAGCGCCATCACACTCTGTCGGTGGGTGCTGGATCAAAAAGACAGCTCGTGCGGTTGGACAGCATCCAAAGAGCCCAAATAAGATGTGCTTCCTGAAATTATTGTTGAGAGGCCTCATGCCCGCTCTGTTGACGTCTGTGCCGTTGAGTGGGGCGAAGAAAGATTATGTGGTAGTCTCCCAAAATAAGGGGACCCCAATATAGACCCCAGAATACTATAATCCTTATTATGGACCCCCAACATGGTACCCCTAATTTTGGGAAACTCCCATGTCTTTGGGTGCTGGAAGGAGATCCAGAAAGCATGCAATGAATTGGTTCCGGCCTTGGTCGTAGCACACGTCTTACTCTTATTATTCTTTGTTGTTGGCTTCTAAGACTCTGTAAGATAGGGAAGTCTCACTGTCTTGAGGTGCAGTCCAACCACGGAGATCAGACACAAGAAGTTATTTTGTTCTGTTGCTTGGGTGGGGTTGAGCAGCTGTACCAGGGCCGGGAAGCTGAGCCTTGAGACTTGAATTTTCCAGGATTGAGATCTGTGCCCTGTTCACTTTCTCGCGGATGCTTGCACACGGACGTTTCCCAAAATTATGGGTACCTTTTGGGGTCCCTACAATCAGGGGTGTAGTATTCTGGGGTCTATATTGGGGTCCTCATATTTAGGGAAACTGCCACATCTAGAATATCTATGTGCAGTGCATTTCTGAGTCCTCCCGCCTCCGCATATCTGCATATGCGTGCTTTCATGTATAGCTTTGGCACTGCCCCCACTCTGTAACAATTGTATAGTATTTATGATATACTTGTATATGGCCCTGAATATGGCCCCTAATATAGACTGCTACAGGGTGGGGGCAGTACCCACTGTGTAGCGTCTTTGCGCGCCAAGGAGCAGACTCGGAGCGCCAGAAAAGGTCTGCTACAGGACAGTTTTGTGCATCAGTAGGTATATGTACTATAGTCTAAACT